CTTCCTTCCTTCATTGCCTTCAAAGGGACCCCAGCGAAAAAAAAAAAAGGACCGAAAAAATATGCCCTCCAAAACCGCATCTTCCTTGCGCTCCACTAGCACATGGCGGCAAGCTTGCGCGGCATGTAATCCGCGAGTGGACATTGACCCGATGTGGTCACCATCCTTTCCCAAATGGCCGTAGTGCGCTCGCCGTACTTCATGTGGTGACAAGCAGCCATGCTTGTGCACAACATCCGCTCAATTCCCCCTCACTGATATTGGATCATGTGCGCTCCGTAGCTTCTGTCTGCATCATGCAGCGATGGCTCATACAAGTGGTGCGCCTTCGCCATAAGTGCAATGCGCTTTCTTTTCACTGCTTTCCGCGTGGACGGTTGTTTCAGGTCCGAGTCTCTCTCTCACTCTATCTTGCGTTGCCGGGTGATTTTCTAAACGGTGCAAGTCAAACTGAGTGCCCGAACGTTGCTCTTTCAGGGCTCAGGAAGTCAACTACAGGGCCAGGTACAGTACACACCTACGGTTATGTATGTTCCGTGCTACGAAGCAACATGTACAAGTATATGCATTTCACCACTGGCAAAATGATTGGGTCCAAACGCCTCGCGCATGCCATCTGCAAAAATAACCCATGTTTCAGATCACATCATTTTCGCACGGACAAATTTTGCATGGTTAGGGAGTTCCCATCTCATAACACGTTGTACTCATCGATGGCTTGGTAACAACGCAGTCAATGTATCGAACAAGCCGCAAGTGTCAACCGAACTTCATGCAGCACAGACGGTCTCGTGGGAGGACCAAGTCAACAGACTTTCCAACATGTCCGGGAAATCATTTGCAACCGGTTGATCGGGAGATGCCGTGACGACGTTCTTGATGGTGCGCCACATCTGCCGATCACGTCTATTTCACAGGAAACGTTCGCAACGTCGAGATCTCCAAGCTTGTTTATGAAGTTTGCGAGTAGCAAAGGTAAAGCTTAGCTGTCACCGTGCACCAACGTCATTTGAAGCCCGTCTCCAATTGCGCATCTGTCGGCATTGGGCAGCAGCACGAAACTTCTCGGTGGACGTGGAGAACCTGAGTTACCCCCAGCATCCAACAACGAGCGCTCGGCAGGGTCAAAAAATCGGAATTCTTCGTCTCGGATTTTGACGTCCAACTCGTGAAGGAATCGTCCAGCCCTGCCGTGAGAATCCAACTTGGGGCGCCAACCTTTCAATCCAGGTCTTCGTAAGAACCGTTTGCGTTCTGAGAACGTCTACCAACGGAGCAATACCGATTGGAAATGCAATATTGTTCCAGGACAGTGTAGCCTCTAGGTCCTAGGTTCGAGAGTATGTAATCGAATTTTAACACGGGTGAATCCATTGCAGAGCAGCCGCCCTGGACTACCGGAGCCCCTGGAGGACTCGTAGCTAACAGAGGCGCGGGAAGTCTGTGAAGCTCCTTCAGGACTCCCTTCATCTCCCTTGTTTTAACTCTGGGTTCCGAAGGTGCTGGGGCGGATGGGGGCGGGAGATGACGGCGTCCCGAACAGTGCGAAACGCCTTTCGGGGTCAAAGGATGCATTCGGCTCGCGTTCCGGGTCTCGGAGTGGGCCGAGAACCGACGATGAAGTCTTCAAGGAGGCTAGCCGGTCGAAGCTCTCTCCGAGTTCCGATTTGGGAAGTCGCGGCTCCCTGGTGGAGCAGCATGCGCGGGAGCAAAAGCTGGCGGCATCCGGAAAAGTGTGCAGAAGATGAGGGGGCCACCCTGCACGGGCAGCGGAGTTCCGCCGGCCGGGCATGGCCCAACCGAAGCGGCAGCCTGTGGTTGGACTGGGCTGTTTCTTCGTTTCACTTCGCTTAAGGCAGTCAGGTGCATCCTGGTGCGCCATGCACGCCATGCAGCCCCGGTGTCTTTCGTCGCGTATAGTGTCATGCAGCTCCAAGCCTTGTGCTGCAATGTGACCTTGATAGCGGCACTTACACGAAGGGCGCTCGCGGCCTTCTGCCGCCTCGAAGGAGCTCGCCGTGCCGTGGCCGCACGCCGTAAGCGCACTGCTTACCCTGAGCTTTTGTGCAGAGGGCCCTGTAACAAATCGAATGGCGCCGGAACGACTAGTGCCTCCGACTTGTCGCTCAGCCCGTTCGCGCACGAACGCAGCGAACGCTTCCTCCCCGGGGTGCTGCCGCTCAAGGCTGGTTGCTGCGGTGGTACCGCGCATGGTCGTTTGAAAAGACCGCTGCTGCAACCGAAAATGCTGTGATGCATCGTTGGATGGCATCCGCAAAGTTGGGAGGGGACGATGCGACGCAGGAATGTCCGGATTTCCAGCAACATCGAGTCCCTTCTTGGTCCAGTGCTCATCGCAAATCAGCGCAAGTTCGTGATGAACCTGACTGTGAAGACTGCTTGGCCATTATGCACAGCAGTCTGGAGACCCGCTCCCAGTACAACTTCAAAAGTGGGCCGAAACGACGGCCAGGTCACCCTCCCAAGCGATCGGATGATTTCAACAAATTTGCACGGTCACCTTTTCCTGGTCATAGTTCATGGTTTGACGTTCAAGCCAGAACACCAGGATCGGCGGATCAGAGTGCAACGACATGCGAGCTTCTTCTTTCACAGACATTCCGCCGTTGGAATTGCCAGAATTGACCAGCACGTTATGCAAGAGCGCTGCCACGTGCTTGTCCCGGATGTTTTTGGCCGCACTCCCCATAGGATGTCGGCCACTAACGCATCAGCCGAGGCTGGTTGATTGTAAATGATTGTTACAGGGCTCGCCGTATCGTCAAAATCGGTGCTGTACTTTGTTGCCGGGAGCTGCCTGCATGTTCGGGCGTTAGTCGTCGCACTGCATAGGCGTACACCTGTTCGTTGAGCGAGTCCTTCTTCCGCTTCCGTTTGATGCACCTCGGTGCTGTAGTTCCTGATCGTTCGATCCTCTTCCCCGTCACATGGTGGCCAAGCAGCAAGCCTCGTGTACGATACATTGACATGAATACCGCCACGGCTTAGCGCAAGCGAGGACAGTACATGCCACAGTGATAAATTCTGCATCGCAGTGCCCCTGACTCATCGTTCGGCTGAACATGACAGGCATGCACTGGGGTTTCGGCTTTAGAAATTACACTAAACACTTCTTGGGACAAGCACGACTACACCACCACCCCACGTGCTTGCCAACCTCAGAACCAGAAAGGAAAGCAGGCACCCGACGTCAGTGCAGACTTGGAAGTTGGTGTAGATTTTGCAGCCGTCAAGCAGATTAACTCTTCAATGTTCATTATCGTTGTAAAGTGCTATGCACAGCTCGCTCCTTTTCCTCAGAGCACAGGGTCGGAGGCAAAGTCTGCTCTCTTTGGAACCGCAGTATCCAGAGCTCCTCCATGCCACGCTGTTCTCGGCGTGCTGTCTGTGCTGAAAGACCCAGAGACTGTCCGATTGCAAGAATTTCGACGGGGTCGTTCTCAGTTATACAGACAAGGTAAAACAGACCACCTGGAGCCAATGTCATGGCGACCGTGGGCATCAGCTTGTCAATGACTTCGCGGCCACGCTTCCCTCCGGCCCAGGAAACTGAAATCCCGAAACCTTGCATCTCGTCCTCCTCCGTCGGCACATATGGGGGATTGCATATCACCACGTCGACCTCTGCATGACAAAGTCTTTGTGTCATGGATGCTCGCACAACGCCTGCCAGAGGAAGCTTGAAATGCTGAAAAAGTTTCGCTGTGCACATTACTGCTGCCGGGTTTTTGTCGATGGCAAGCATGAAGCTCGGGCACCCTTCACGAGTCAGAACGTCCCACAGGCCGACACTAACCGCACCAGAGCCACAGCCCAGTTCCACACAAACTGTCGGCTTCAAGGCTCGTAGCTTTCGTGCATCCTCCTGTAACACTTCTAAGAGCAGGAAGGTGTCATCGCTTGGAGGATAGACATCTTGCCCCGTGCGAGCTCGGGCAGCATCCACGATCTCTGCTGCCCATGCCGGCGGCGGACATGCAGGTTCCGGATCCTCGTCGGAATTCTCAGCCATCAGTGCTTCAAGCGGCTTCTACCAGCTTTCTCTGGAGCCAGACTTGAGAAAGATGAATCCCCTCGCCCCTGAAAACTCACCGAGCAGCGACTGTGCCTTTGTCTCTCGCAGAGCGCATCTAGCCGGCTCTGCATGAATTGGCGGGGGCACGCTCAGCAACCTGGAGGCCTGACTTGGCTGCTACAATCCCGACTGCCCAGCCGTCTCAAATGAACACGCCGAGCTTCCTGGCGCCGTCCACTTCCGGAATTCCGGTTCGATACACACTCCAAGACTGCTGCTGCTAGATTGCTCAGCAAAAACATGCTCAACTTTTGACCTCGCTCTTTGCCAGGCTCTCGTCTGCCCGTTCAGCATCGTACCACATTATGTACAAAGGTTTCGAAGGGTCTGGACTGCTGCCAGGCCTGGGCCAAGCCACGTACGTTAGCAATGGAGCACTTGTGCTGTGCCAGGCGCTGCTCATCTCAACGGTTTGCGAAAGTCTCATCAAAGAAGTTAGTCTGAGCCAGGTCGACAGTCCTTAGTACGTTGATGTTCGGCTCATCAAGATCCGACAAGTAATCACTGCGCTTTGCACTCTCTGTCTGCTCTCGTGCTGTAGCTTGCAGCATTATCTTCTGTACCAACTTGCTTAGATATGCCCGGCGACATCCACTCAGTTGCACTCCCTTCAACCGAAATGAAATCAAACCGAACCGGAGAGCCGAGCCATGCCGAGCCACATGCCGACAATGTCGGGCACATCCGACACTGTGGCCCACGTAAGGTCCTAGACACATGCTAGTTATGGTGCACAGCACCTGACTGTTTGGCGATTGGTCCTTGTGAGTGTCGTACATAAACTTCCAGCAAAACGGCACATCCAAGCCTCAGCCCAAAGTTCCACGGGAGCAAACCGCCACACGATGTGTGACGCACATGCCTACCCAAGAGCTGGACAGAGACTGGAGATGTAGCCCGAGATGGATGTGTTGAGGATGGACAGATAGCTCATTTCCTCGGAGACTTCATGCTTGGAGTGGCTCATCAACGTAGCAGCGACAGCAGTGTCTTAGTCGGAAGAGCAATCATGTCGACAGAACGCGGAAAGACCGACGTTCGAGACGTGTGGAATCATTCGTGTATCGAAAGCATTTGCAGAGCAGGGGCAGCCCAATCGACGATGACCTGCTCCGGAATCACACCGGCCAGCTCGGGATTGTGGGAGATGTCGAACACCTTTACACCCAACATCTTTTGGATGCAACTACCCTGTGTGCACCGTGAACGCACACGCCTGGATCTTGGTCATTGGAACAATGTCCTGGCGCCAGACTGATCGATGCGAATGCATGATACGAGAGTCTGGCACCTGCGTCAGCCTTCCCTTCAGGCGATTGTACTGCAGATGGACATACCTTCGCACTTCAGACTGCAGCGGATGACTTTTGAATTGGCGGGCTTTGAGAGCAAAGCCGGATGTTCGGAAGCTGGCCAAAATCTGCTGGAAACTCATCCTGCACTAAGGACACTGGAGCACTAGAGCACTGCAAGAGTGAATTCGATCCTTTGCTAGATGGATTTCTGAGCCGGCCCAGGTTGGCGCGGAATGAGAGCGAAATGTATGACAACGAAGTTCACATTCGCGCGAAAATGACGACACGCGTCCACAGCCATCTTGCCTGCCCTGCTACCCAGTAAAATATGAGGTCGGTCTTCTCTGTCGGAGCCGCTCGCGCTCCCCTTGAAAAAATATTTTCTCCGACAAGTCGACAAACATTGGCCTTGTAATGGCAGATATCACCAATGTCGTTCCCTACTTCGTGGTACTCTGTGGTGTCATTCCAACTTTGACGGACCGATGAAGCAATGGAACAACACCTCAACACTCTCGCGGGCTGTCTCTGTGTGTACGGCACGAGAATAGGCTTAGATGCAGATGCAATACAGATTGCGTGCGTACATTGGTGCAAGCAGAGCAAAGAATCAACGCCCCTGCAACCATGCTCTTCGATTGCTGCTGTGGCTGCGGCTCCTCTGTTGCTGCTTTTGGTACTTCTCCAGCTTGCTTGGTTTATGCATTGAACACACGGATGAGGACTTCCGACAAGTTCTCAACGAGTCCATATCACCCAATGTATAGAGGTCACAATGTGAACAAAACAACAGCAAAGGGCAAGCACGCATCACGTACAACAACTGAAACAAGATGCCAACACGAACTATTAGTACACCACAAGAAGACAGTGTTCAAAGGAACAGATGCGAGAGCTGATGCGTTCGACCATGAAGCTAAGGAGTTCCTCTATCTCTTGGGACAGAAAAGCTCCTCAAAGGGAGGTGCCCCTGAAGTGTACATGCCTTGTTGTAGTTCCACGGCCCTGTCCAGACATAGAAGGCGACAATGACGCACCCAGGGTCGAGTAAACGAATGAATGCGAATTTGGGCAAGCAGACCGACACGCCCTCCTCGATCATGTTGTTGTCCAGTTCGAGTGTGTGAAGCCTCGGGAATGCACAGCGAGGACACGACGGCCACGACGGCAGTCTTCAAGCCACTGGCACTTGAAAGCGCCGCAAGTAGTTAGGCATATTCCTCACCGACAAGCATGCCATGCTTTTAAGCTGCACCTGTCCTGCCCAGGCCTCAACTGGTTGCGGCTGGCACTCAATGACCGCAGTGTATCCGCGTTTAGATACAAGTCCTCGAGCATTTCTTCCATCAAGCACTAGCAAACGAGGAGGAAGGCGCAAGCGGGGCCGAGTGCAAAACATCTGGTAGCTTCAAGATGAGATTGCCAGAAACCTGCAGCAAGAGCCGAAAGCAAGACTTAGCGGAGATACAGAGTGAAGCCTCAATCTCTTCCAGCTGGAAACACATGGCCAAGGAGGGCATCGACCTCATTGTACACATTCAATCAACTTGCGCTAGTCTAGCTGCGCTGCAAGGCGCCTAGGGCCCCTGCCCTTCCACGCGATTCACCTCGTCGTTTGGATGCCTCGGCTTTGTCTTCGATTGGCCTCGTGGCCTATGGACTCACGACAGGACAAGATGCATGTGGTACTCCGGTTCTGTCGAAGACAAGTCCAGCTTAATCAGGGATGTCAGCGCACCTCTGGCAAAAAAAGTGACAGTAGCTGGCTCGAACCTGACATGCTTGAGAAGGCCCCAGCCTAAAGCAGACGGCAGAGGCCCTCTCACCCTGTTGTCTGACAGCTCCAGCTTTATCACCTGCAAATGCAAGATACTGAAAGAAGTTCAGGCTCTGTGGTTGCAACAGCTGTTTTTCCTGATGCATGGAACGGTCTAAGCTCAATGTTGCACTCATGAGCTGACGGATCTGCGACTGTCTCGGACAGGCAAACTGCTCCCTGCCATACTCTCGGGGCTCCCACGTAGCCGTGCTCGTTGCAAGTGACCCCGTACCAGTAGTCCCAGCAAGGGTCCAACTCCTGGCCACAGGCCCCTCTGCCCTCTTGCTGCGACGAGTAACGTCAGTTTGAAGAAGTCAGGCTTGCTCCATTCCAGTTGTCTCTGGTTCGCCAGAAGTCACCTCAAGAACGACGAAGTGAGAGGCGACTGGAAATCACCCTGACCGCCTCCACAGGAGTTGTAGAACTCCATCAGGGCTGTCTTCCTCACCGGGATGGAACACTCAGCGACGAAAATACGAGCAGCGAGGATCGCGCTCTGCACGACGCTGGTAGTCGTTCTGGTATGAAGGGTAGTACGCTCTGTTGTACTGGCAGCCGTAGGGCCTCAGTGGCATCTGCCCGACCAATGCAAGGATTGGCACATGAACGCGCAGTACCCCGAGCATTACTGACTGCGAGCAGCTTTCCTGAGATGCTCAACAAGGGCGCTTGAAATCCGGAAGACAGTTCGCTCTTGTCTCCAACATCTTCAGACTTTGTCTATTCTTGGGACTCTCACAATGCTAGGAAACTCCGATTTCCAGGAATAGCTATTTTTATGATTTCGATATGGTGTTGATACTATGCTTTCAGGAATCCTGCCGGTTACGATTTTCTTATGATTTCCTTGTGGTTTATGATTTTGCGACGATTTGGATACAGTTTGGATACGACTTGGATACGATCTTGATACGATTTCGATACCATTTTGATACGATTTTGATAGGATTTCGATTCCTCTCCAGCCTCCTCCAGGACTGGTTTNNTGTTTGCTATGTTTTTGATATAGTTTTCGGACTTGCAGCCGAGCTGCTTTCCAAGCTGTGCTTTCCGGCGTAGCCGTATTCAAATCGCAACCAGAACCGTATCAAAATCCTAAACGGTGCAAAACCCTGAACCATAAGAAAACCATAAGATAATCGAGAAAAAAATCCGGGCGTCTACCCTGACTTTCCCAATGACGAAAGTCTTAAGTCTTTTCAATTGATTCCCCTCTTGATTGTTTCCCTGCCTTTGCTTTGAGTCTAATTCGGGGTCTGGATGCTGGGGTGATCGCAGGGATCTTCGAAGAGTTGGGTCTGGGGCGTCATGGGTTTGAACTCAGAGGTGCTGCGTTTGGAGGTGTACGACCTAGGTGTGTTGGATGTAGGGGTTTCAGGATTTGGGGTTCGGTTACAGGCTTCTGGAGTTTGGGGTTCTTTAAGATGTGGAGTTGATTCTGGGGGCTGTTGGCTTCTTGGGTTTCGGTTTCGACGGTTTGGGGGTTGGGTTTCCGGGCTTCGGGTCTAGGTTTTGGGTTTAGAGGTTTAGGGTTTGGGAATTTTGGGTTAGGCGGTGTGGGGTTCAGGTCAGCGTTTAGGGGCTCCGGGTTTCAACTTTGATTGTCTGTGTTTAGGAGGTCGTTGGTTGGCTCAAGATTTTGGATTTAGGGTTCAAGGGTTTTGGGGTCAGCAGTCGGATGCTTAAGGTTTGGTTTAGGGGTCGAGGAGTTTAGTTGTTAAGGGTTGAACTAGGTCCTGTGCTCAGGGTTTGGAACCTGATGCTTTCTGACCGGCATGCCAGATGAAATCCTGTGAAACCTGATGAAAATCTGAGGAAGCATG